GATTTGACAGCGGTAAGTACGGAAGAGAAATGCGTGATGCAAATGTTTCCTAATTATTGGTGTCAGGAGGGTAATGGGCTCCTGTTGGTGTGGAGTGTTCTGAAATGAGGTTGGAGACAAGACTAAAATACGTATGGGAGGTGAAAGAAAAGGGTAAGACAGGTATATGATTCAAATTCCTCCGTTTCCTTCCATATATTCCGGAGAAAAATATGTTTTTCGGTAAAATACAGCCCCCCAGTGCCTAGGATATAAGGTGACAAAATTGAAAAAAAAATCAATATCAACCGTGAGAGCAAAGTCTTCTTCCAAATGAATATATATTTAGGGGAATGTTTGTGAAGTGAGCTTCCACTGTACAGAATATCTTATCCAAGCCGTAGCCAGGACTTCTGGCTACGCCTTGACCTTGATGAACAGCTCAGTTTCGATGTTCATATCGACTCTTTATGTAAGAAGATTTCAAAGCGTATCGGTATACTTAACAGAATTAAGGCTTACTTACCAAGAACAGAGCTTATACTTTATGATATTTCTCTCATTAAGCCATTGATATTATATTGCAGTGTAACATGGACAAGCTGCTGCAGTCATGATAATATATGTGAGATATTTAAGTTACAGGAACGCTATGTTCGAATCATCCTTGACGCCCAACAACGACATGGCACTGTGGATCTATTTAATATTTTAGGGTGGGTGCCATATAATATCGAGTTTGGCATTAAATGATGCCTAATGGCCTACAAGAGGATTATGGTACTTGCTCTGCCTATATAAACGCACAGTTAGACCTAAACAACAGCCAGCCCAGCAGAAATACTCGAGGAGCTAACTTAACCATTTTACCTAGGAGATACATTAGAGATACATCTCTTTTTGTAATACTTTTTTGTAAATATGCCGTCAGGATATTTTTTCAAACTCGTCCAATCTTTTTTCGCTGTTTTCCTCAAAACTACTATAGCTAATATCTCGTCCCCAGATTTCCACGGCCAAGGGACACGGGAATTAGAATGCCCGAAACTGAAAACCGCTACTTCCGCTTTCGATATCTTTTTCGTGTGTTCCTCATTATCAGCTACATTTTAGTGGATTTTGCTGAAGGAAATTAGGATATTGTGTAAATGATGGAAGATATACAGCCTATCTCAGCTGCTGAACAAGCGTCATTCTGTGTGGAACTGATGAAGCGCCTCAACATTCAGCGAAAACAAGATTATTTGTGCGACATTACTTTGTTGACGAACGACGACAGAGAGTTCAAAGCTCACAGAAATGTTCTTTCCGCCGCTAGTCCGTTCTTTTGCAAGCTTCTTCAGAGCGATATGAAGGAGAATCGAGAAGGGATTGTTCGGTTTGAGGAGATCTCAGGAACTATTATGGAAGATGTTTTGGAATTCATCTACACTGGAACTGTGGAGGTGACTCAAGAGAATGCTAAGGAACTGATCGCCGCAGGAAGCTATCTGATGATACTGAGCTTGAAAAATGTTTCAGGGCGATTTCTGGAGGCAGAAATGTCCAACTCCAACTGCATTTCAACGTTTTACCTCGCTGAGAAATACGATTGTGACGAGCTTATGAACAACAGCAGGAGATTCGTCCTCGAGAACTTCCGTTTTGTGGCAGCATTGGACGAATTCCTTAATTTGGAAGCCAAAGAAGCGGAGAAATGGCTTTCAAGTGACGATATTTCCGTTGAAACGGAAGCCCATGTTTTTAAGATCGTGCTCGAGTGGATTGAACACAGCAAGAGCGAGCGAAAAGCATTTTTCGAACAGTTGTTTCGCCACGTCAGACTGGTTTTGATGTCGCGTGACTACTTAATAGATGTCGTGACAAATGAACTTGTTCAAGAGAGCTTTGCTTGTTTACGGTTGACCTCTGCGGCTTTAAAAATGTCTAGTTTCTCAAGTGAAGGAGATGCACCCCAAACGCCGAGAAAAGGTGTCGAACTACACGGCATTGTAGCGTGTGGGGGTTATGAAAATTTCTGTTATTTTCCCGAAAAGGACAAGTGGAAACGACTACCAGGTGGGAGGTCGACAGGCCACACCCAAGTGACAAGATACCGAGATAACTTGTTTAGATTTTCTAGAGATGGCAGCGTAGAGAGGTATGATCCAGTTTTTAATGTCTGGTCTGAGTTGGAATTGCGTGAAAACGTTTCCAGGGTAGCTATAGTTAAAGGAGAAATGTATGCTCTTGAGCTTAACATTTCCAAGCAACAAACCATTGTCAAAATATACAATGTGGAGCAGTGCTCTTGGGAGACGCTTTTTTCATCCAATGAAGCTTGTAGAGGGCAAGCCTGTGTTGTTTCTGCTGGCAGTTATCTTTATGTTTTTGGTGGAAAGCCCCCAAAAACTAGAGAATATGTCACGAAAGCCGAGAGATTTGACACTGTGGTTAAGAAATGGGAGAAAATCGCGGACATGCTCGAAGATAGAGGCGACGCTTTTGGTGAAGCCACCAAAGACAAAATCTTCGTCGCTGGAGGAAAGCATAGGGAAGGAAACTCAGTGTTGCAAACTTGTGAGATTTACAATACCTCAACAAATGAGTGGCAACTCACGGGAAGCTTGACTGTTTCTCGCATGTGTGGTAGTATGGTGTGTCTGAACGGGAAGCTTTACGTGTTAGGTGGACAAAGAGAGGAAGACTGTCGTGAACTGAAGGTTGAGTGGTTTAATTCTGAAGAGGGCAAATGGATCCATAAAACAACCATACCCGCAAAACCAGTCATGAATTACAGCTATTACGGAGAGCCGGTCTTTAATGGCTGTGTACTTAAACTCTCCAAAGGAGTACTGGACAAACTTTGGGTGGTATAATAATCCTTTATGTCATTTTTGGATCTGCATTTAGTCTCCGATGTATGCCCGATACCTGCATCGCTTACCTCATGGATATCTACTGTATCTGAGGATTGATTTGCAATTTCAATTCAACAGATTAACTAATCCTTCTAAAAGGAACATTTTTAGTTTGAAAATTTTTTCGGCATTCTTAAATGTTTTCCATCTTCAGTTGCAATAAAATGTTTGCTGTGCAATTTGAATTTTCTCTTAACAAACATGTCGTGAAGTTATGACAGACGTTTTTGCATCCCAAAATGCCATATATCATATGATATTACTGTTATTATATGATAATTATGATATGAAATTCAATGGAAGCACCAAGCAGCGGTAAAAGTAATAAAAGGGAGCTGGGAACAACAAAACAAAATCACTAACAGTAATAATAACAAAAATAATTAAATAAAAATAAGCAAATCAAAGTGTTTTTAAGTTTTGGATTAGAGTTAGATTCTTCCATTAAACAAGGCTTCTTTTATCTTTATTTGAATAACTGAGGTGGCAGATTCATCAAATTATCATAGTTTAAAGCTTTTACAACCTAACATCATTATGCATATTCTCCATACTGTTCTCTGTACATTTCCTAAGATGCTGACAAGGAGAATTTTTTTAACAACCAAGAGCTTATAGTCTTTAGTCAGTGATCATTTCATTTATTCTCATGACCTTGGTGTTTGACTAAGGGGTGATACTGTAAGGAGAAATTAGATGTTAGTCACTCTTGGGGATCAAAGGGTTAACTTTGTAAAATTACTCCTAATGCATGTAAGAAAATTGTCATTTATTAAAAGAATGACATTTAAAAACATTTGTCCTGAGCACAAAACAGAGGAAAGCTTGTTATGAAGGTTTGAGCCCCACCCAGTTACAATTTCTCAGTCAGATTATACTCTATCAACTGAGCTAAATAAAAGTTTTTGGTGACCAAGGTTACTGAATTTGAAGTAAATATATGACAAGAAAATGTTGTGCTTTGACTACTTGGATTATAAGATAAAATGTACAGTGAAAGCTCTCTCCATAAACACTCCCCTAAAAAAATGCAGTATACAATTATAAAACGGAAGCTTTTACAGGCTTTCAAATACAAGTGCATGTATATTTTATACTGAAATGCTACCAGTCCAAATAAACAGCTAACTCATAGTATAACCAATCCCATAGCATATTTGAGCCTTGTTGTTATGCCATGTGTCTTTACTTCTGAAATTTTTCATGGGGTTGGGAGGAAGGGGGGGGCAAATCAAATGATAATTTGTTTAAGGATTGGGCTATTTACTGAGTTCATGAGTGACAGGCATCCTGTATTTTATGCTGTATTCAGCAATGCCTGAAGTGTATTTTTATTTAAATGATGTTTCTATAACAAGCTTATTCAAGTGGGCTTGCTTAACCCTTAAACTCCTAAGATCTGATTGTTCATTCTCTCCTCTAGCTGCTACAAGTTTCCTTGTATATTGGTCATGAGAATTTAGTGTTAGATCAAAAGAAAAACTTCATCCTGATAAGTTTAATTATTCCCAATTTACCAATTTGCTGGAAAATGTGTGGATATTACAGGGAGAAAATACATGTTAATCACTTCTGAGCTGGTTAGATGAGATTCTAATCCTGATCAAATAAACTGCCCTTTTTGGACTTTGCAAAACCTAGCATTTGTAAAAAGAAAACCCTAAAAGATTGTGCTTGAGTAAAACATGCATATAGTGAGCACAATTTCTATTATTCATAATTAGCATTTTAAACTACAAACTTCAGTTTCTCTCTCTGGAAGTTCTCAGATGTGTCAAGATGAGTGATGCTAGTGCAAAAAACTGGCTACTTAACAAACAGAAACAAAAAATTAACATCAAAAAACATTTAGCTTTAGGACAGAAAAATATGTATTAACTTATCAAGGATTCTGTATCTAAGAGGAAATAGGCCAAGAGTTGTTCTCTCGGCATAGCAACATACAGAAAATTCCACGTTTTACTCTCTTGACTTGGGTTGATGGGAAAGTTCAGTCATTGTCCTATCTACTGGTAACCTTATCTATCTTTGATCCAGTGGATTCTATTACTGTCGCAAATTGTTTCTTCAGAGCATTTTCTTGAGGATTTTTTCTTTCATTTGGGTACAGTTTGTGCACAGTTAATAATCCACTGCATTTGGATCTCTAAGATAATCCAATACTCCTTTGGAGAACTTTAGCACACAGCCTTGGAATGCCTGTTTTTTCTTACAGTCCTTTATTGGTATGACTGTCTTCACAATCCACTTGCCCTGTTTGTCATAATATTCAACTGAATGTTCTGGGTTTTTCTTACTTTGGTCAAAGCCACCCAGCACATACAATGTTCCACCAAGACAAACCATACTACCATGTGTGCGGCAAACATTCAAGTTTGCAATTAACTGCCATTCATTTGTGGAAACATTGTACACCTCACATGTTTTCAACACTGTGCCTTCTTCATCTGCTCCTCCAGCAACAAAAATCTTTTCCTGACTGGCCACACCAAAAGCCTCACCCCTTGCTTGTTGCATGTCTGTGATTTCTTCCCATTTCTTTTCCACAATGTCAAATCTGTCAGCTTTTGGGAGATATTTGGAGGTAGGTGAGGACTTCCCTCCCAAAAGATACAGATAGTTAGCAGACCCAATGACACAAGACTCTTCCCTACAGCTCTCAAAAGAGGTGAAAATTGTCTGCCATGAATTTTGCTCTACACTGAATTTTTTTATGCATGTTTCCTCATCTTCTGTGTAAGGATACATCTGCTCGACAGAATACAGCTCTCCCCTAACAGTAGTCAAGTAGTCAAAAGAAAATAGGTTTAGGTGCAACAATGACCAGCCATTAAACACAGGATCATACCGCTGCACTTGACTCCAGTCCTGAAGCATATACAACTGATCACGAAATCTAATCATTGGGGTTTCATGATCTTTCTCCCATAACAGTTCAGGTAAACATTTCCACTCATCTTTATCAGGGATATAGCAGCAGGCATATTTACCTGCACAAGCCACTATAGCTCGTGTCTCAAGTCCTTTTCTCGGTGACTGGGGAAGGTTAACATCGCTTGAAAACGTAGTCAGTTTTATGGCATTTGAAACCAGCCTCAAACAATCAGCGTTGTCACGCACGAGTTCGTTCGTCACGACATTCAACAAATAGTCACGCGATACGAAAACTAGTCGCACGTGACGAAGCAGCTCTTCAAAGGCTGCTTTCCGCTCGCTCTTGTTATGTTCAACCCACTTTTGCGCAATCTGGAACACATCGGCTTCCGTTTCAATGACAATCTCATCACTAGAAATCCATCTCTCCACTTCTTTGACTTCCAAACTTAGGAATTCATTCATGTCTGCTACAGACGCGAAGTTCGCGTGGATGAAACTCTTGCTTTCGTTTAAAAGCTCTTCACAATCGTATTTCTCGGCGAAGTAGAAGGTTGAAATGCAGTTTAACTCACACATTTGTTGTTGTATAAATCGACCAGAGATTGTTTTCAAGTTTGGAACGAGGAGATAATTTGTGGCGACGACCAGCTCTTCGGCATTTTCTTCAGTAACCTCTACAGTTCCAGTGTAGATGAATTCCAAAACATCTTCCATAACAGATCCCGAAATCTCCTCCAACCGAACGATCCCTTCCCGATTTTCTTTCATATCGCTCTGAAGAAGCTTGTAAAAGAACGGACTCGCTGCAGAAAGGATATTTCTGTGAGCCTTTAGCTCTTGATCATCTTTCGTAATCAAAGTTATGTCGCATAAGTGGCCTTGTTTTCGTTGTATGTTGAGCCGTTTCATCATTTCTACACAAAAAGGATTCTGTTCAGTGACACTGATAGCTGGAAGGTCTTCCATCGTCAAAGGATAGGCCTTGTTTTCGAGGTTTGTAAGCGGAGATTGTGGTGATTAACAATTTCGGAACGCGAATGCGGAAATTTAGCCAGGACTTCTGGCTACGCCTTGACCTTGATGAACAGCTCAGTTTCGATGTTCATATCGACTTTTTATGTAAGAAGACTTCAAAGCGTATCGGCATACTTAACAGAATTAAGGCTTACTTACCAAGAACAGAGCTTATACTTTATGATAATTCTCTCATTAAGCCACTGATATTATATTGCAGTGTAACACGGACAAGCTGCTGCAGTCATGATAATATATGTAAGATATTTAAGCTATAGAAACGCTGTGTTCGAATCATTCTTGACGCCCAACAACGCCATGGCACTGTGGATCTATTTAATATTTAAGGATGGGTGCCATATAACATCGAGTTTGACATCAAAAGATGCTTAATGATCTACAAGAGGATTATGGGTACTTGTCCTGCCTATATAAACGAACAGTTAGAATTAAACAACAGCCAGCACAGCAGAAATACACGAGGTGCTAACTTAACCATTTTACCTAGGAGATACATTAGAGAGAAAGAGGGAGGCCGCACGTTTTCTGCAACAACCTCAAGATGGTGGAATCACCTCCCCCTTAAGCAACGCGCTTCTGAATCTGTAAATACTTTGAATAATGCTTTGTATAAACATTTTAAATCAAGTCAGCTTAGGGATAAGATTTTTTACTCCTTTTTTAGATAATTTATTTTCAGATCGAATGATATGAACAATTTGTTTTACCTTTAACTTTTAGATCTTGATTTGTTGTACATTATGATTTTTAATTAGGTTTTAATTAAATTCTTAATTAGGTGATTAATTATTGTAGGTTTTATTAAAAATTGTAACAATGTTTATAGAAGGCCACAAGTTCATTACTTTTTAACTATTAAGTGTCACCCTATTTAAATAAAGTTTGATTGATTGATTGATTGATTGATTAATCGCGTTTAATTCACTTCTTAATTCCCGAGTCACGTCTGAAATAAAAAAAAATTAGTTCACGTGGACATGAAAAGATCTTATTATCTTTAATCACAATTCACGAATAAAGAAAAATCAAATCACGATTCACGAGAAAAAAAATTGCCCAATCACGCTTCACGTAAAAGTATAAGGAACCCTCAATTAGCTTTGACTCCTGTTCTCTAAAGATCAACAAGTATAATGCTTTAAATGTCAACTTTCAAAACCAATCTTTACTGTGGCCAATTTACATTATCAACTCCATTAATAAAACCAAAATATCTTGAAACACCCCCCACTGACGCAGCACCTCAGCTTCTTTTTCATTTACATTCTTTAGGGTATGGAAGATCTACATCCCATCACTGAAACTGAAAAACCTTCATCCTGTTGGGGCTAACGCTCGAAACGTCAGCTTTGAAACTCTTTACGGTGGCCAAAACATTGTCAACTTAGTTGATAAAACAAAAATTATCCTGTTATACTTCGCCACCGACGCACCTCCTCAGTTTCTTTAGGAACTTACCCCCGTTATTTATAATATTGATTGCTTACTTGGATAAGACACTATCAGCCTTGTATTACACAAAGGGGCATAGGGGCCTGTCGAAAACAGGACAACGCACCTAAACGGTCATCGAAATAAAATGGCGGATAGCAATTGTTCCAAACTTAAAAACCACCTTAACCCTGTACACGTTAATATTAGTATTCACTTCACACTGTTCTCTCAGCATTTCCTATGGTGCTGACGAGGAGAGTTGGTTTGAAAATTAGGAGCTTCTTAAATTGGTGATTGTTTCGTTTATTCTCGTGACCGTTATATTGCTTTAGAGTGAGATACCCTTTTCAAAGGAGAAATTAGAAGCCAGTTACTCTTAGCTGAAGTTAAGTAATTAGGAAACTATAGCAAAATCAATGAACAAAAAAAGAAAAAAACTTGAAAACACTTTTATTATTCTTAAACACAAAAATTCGAATGAAAAAACAGAAATAGAAGAGAACACTTGACGCTTAAAAGTCAGAGTTGACCTTTCAAATACACTTCACTAATGTACTATGATAATGACAATCTAATAAATTACTAAAATGCTGAGGAAATATTGGAAATTGCAATCTTAACATGAACAAGCCGTAATAATTTTGGCCTCCTGAACAGATTTGACTGACTGTACAGGTATGATCAGTTTGAGCATTAGTTTACTTTTCAAAAGAAAGAATAATTCCCTGGCAAGCGAAGATGTAAAAAACTTTTGAATACAGCTAACCAGAATGAAGTGTCTTGCAGTGGAGTAGAATTTCGATCTGTAATTCTTGTACTCTTCCGAGCAGGCAAAATTTTTGGTTGACCTTTACCTGTATCTTTTTACATAACACTTTTTTGCAAATATGTCCGTGTTTTTCTCAAAACCACCATAGCCAATATCTCGTCCCCAGAGTTCCACGGCCAAAGGAAACGGGAATTAGAATGCCCGAAACTGGAAACCAGCTTTACTTCCGTTTTCGATATCTTTTTCGTGTGTTCCTCGTTATTAGCTGCATTTGAGTGGATTCTGCTCAAGGAAACTAGGATATTCTGTAAATGATGGAAGATATCCAGCCTATCGCAGCTGCTGAAAAAGCGTCATTCTGTGTGGAACTGATGAAACGCCTCAACATTCAGCGAAAACAAATTTGTTTGTGCGACATTACTTTGGTGACGAAAGACGACAGAGAGTTCAAAGCTCACAGAAATGTTCTTTCCGCAGCAAGTCAATTCTTTTGCAAGCTTCTTCAGAGCGACATGAAAACTGGATGAATTTTTGCACTTGGAAGCTAAAGAGATCGAGAAGTGGATTTCGTCCGACGAAATTACTGTCAAAGAGGAAGCTGATGTTTTTAAAATCATCTTAGACTGGATAAACCACAGAAAGAGTGAGCGAAAAGCAGCATTAGAAGAATTGTTTGGTCACGTTCGACTGGGTTTTCTGTCGCGTGACTGTCTGGAGGATGTCGCCACAAACGAACTGGTGCGTGAGAATTTCGCTTGTGTGAAGCTGGTCATGGATGCAACCATACAGATGGCTACCTTGGTTAATGAAGACGATTTTCTGCAATCACCAAGAAGATGTCTTGATAAACGTGTCATTGTTGCTCGTGGTGGCAAGTACACTTTTTGTTATCTCCCTAAAGGAGGCCTGTGGAAGCGCTTGCCAGATGGCCTGAAGGACACAAACAGTTTAAAATTGATAAAATTTCGTGACCAGTTGTTGACATCCACCAATTGTCAAATTTCAGAGAGATATGATTCTATTTTTAACGTTTGGTCTGAGCTGAACTTGAGCACAGATTCTGCAAAGTTGGCCGTTCTTAAAGGAGAAATTTACGCTGTTGAAGTTGAAATCTATGGCAGCCGGAAAACTGTCACGAAGAGGTACAATGTAAAGCAGTGTGCATGGGAGACAATTCACACATATCATGAACAGTGTAGACAGGATGCTTGTGTTATTGCAGCCGGCAGACATCTTTATTCGTTTGGTGGTAGGATTCCACGATCAAGTAACTACGTCGTCATAGCTGAGAGATTTGACACTGTGGAAAACAAGTGGGAGAGAATCGCAGATATGCTGGAAGGAAGAAGCGACGCTTTTGGCGTGGCCTCTCAAGAAAAAATCTTCGTTGCTGGAGGAAAAAACTCTACGGGAAGGTTAAAAGCTTGTGAGATGTACAATACGTTAACAAACGAATGGCAACTTATTGCAAACTTGAATGTCCCACGCTGTTATGGTAGTATGGTTTGTCTGAATGGAAAGCTGTACGTACTGGGTGGAGAAAATCAGTTCCGCGATAATTGGGAGCTAAGAGTTGAATGTTTTGACCCTGCAAACGACCAATGGATTCACGAAACAACCGTACCAGTGACAAACATTGACCCAGAAAATAGCAACACATTCACGGGCTCTGTTCTGAAGCTTTCTAAAGAATTACTAGATAAACTTACGATTGTTGAGTAGTGTTTATCCGCCACTTTACAGCTTTAGAATTAGTCGTGTTTTTCACAGTAGACAGCAGGCACAGCCATTCGATTTTTATTGCCTAAAAATTGAACTGACAAGAGTGTCAGATATTGCAAATCGGAATGCCAGATCCCCAACAGACAAAGCTAAGCGAAGCCTCATCATTATCAGTAAAAGTTCCTGCTCAAGTTTTAGTTTCCTTTGGGGGCCAGGTTTACTGATATTTGGGGACTCATCCATGGTCATATCAGAGTACCTTTTGGGCTTCTCTGCCTCAATTTGCTTATCGCCTTTCCAGTAATTCATATTCTTGGCTATAGGAAATAAGTATTCAAATAAGGTTCTGAAAGCATCTGTATTTTGCATGCCAGTATAGAGTCGAACATCAGCATCTCTGGTTATTTGTGCAGAGGCTGTACACAGTGTTAACCCCGGGGAATCGTCTCCACTTCTCATCAATTCATCACTTGCAGGTATACCACTATTATCAACCGGTGTTACCTCTGAAGGGCCAGCATGTACAACTGACTTGGTTACAACTGACGTTGCAGCCTCCTTTTGATACTCTAATTAAAGCCGCTTTTTGGGTGACTTACTATTTGAATGCTCAAAAGGAGTAAAAAAAAAGAGTAGGTATAGGGTTGCTAACAGAAGGCTTCCCGTCTCGAAAATGATTAGAGCAGACGACAACACTCTCCCTTGACTTTCTTATTCAGAAATCTTTCCTTCCCTTCTGAACCTGTCGAGACCATGCTTCAATCAACGATTGCTTGGGCTTGTGGAACGATAACTTCTCTACATGCGAGTGGATGACCCATTTTTTCGGATGTCTTCTATCGTTGTTACAGCCGCCGACACAACACTTATCTCCAAAACCCATTTAACCAAGGGTTTCTCTTTGCCGAGTTAATTGTTTTCAATAGTATGTTAGCCTGTCTGGACGAAAGAGTTTTAAGAACACGTAAACATATTTATTTCAATTTTTCCTCTTACCAATTAAGTTACTTAATTACAAAAAGTCTTTCGAAAAAGCAGTTCTGTGACCTTCTGGCATTGTCGGCCGCGAGGTCACGTTCAAAGAAAACGATCCCAGTGTTCCTATAAAAACCCGGGAAGAAAAGGTTTTTCGCCTGGAGAAAAAAGGTCACTCACCTTTATTAATGTCTTGTCTTTTTCAGCGATGGATATTGATTCTTGTTCCTGAACAAAGCGAAAATTAAACGAGGGTAGCGATGCGCGTCTTATTATCATAAGAGATTATATGGCTCGCTGCCTAGCAACGAGGTTTTGTTTGACCCCCAACCAATTTGGCCGCTGAAACCGTGGAAGGATCTATTTAGAGGCTCACCTACGGAAAGGCTGGGTTAAATCAAAGGTCCCCTCTTACTAGTTACTGTTTGCTTTGAGCCTTCTACTTTAAACTGTCACACTAAAGATAGCATGTGTAGTCATGTTTACAGCACTGGACTTCTAAGTCGTTAATTATCCTTGACTGCTGAGCACCTTTCATACTGAATGCCTCTCGGGTCAAAACCATAGCATTGCTTGAGTGGACATAGGGACGTACCTGAGGGCGTGGGAGGGTTTACCTGACTCGCCAGGTTTAATGTAGTTTCTCTCCACCTCATACAATTGAATTATAATTGTGGAGCAATTGTTGGGAGGCAATTAGGGAAGGTATCAAGGGCTCACTTGATCAAGATGTTTTTATTTCAAAAGCCACCCCAGTCAGAAGTTTTAAGAATGAACTTGGTGTGTTTCCCCTCCTCCTTCTGTGGCCGGGGCCAAGCTATATCCAGGGCATTGTGTGGATTTTTCAAAGGGGTGGTCATGCTGTGACAAACAGAGGGTATTCACCAGATTTTTATGTTGACCTTCATGCCGTGTTTACTCAATGTGACCAAAAAAAAAGCCTTCAAGGGAAGGGGGCTCACAGGCACCCCAGGACTCCACTGGCTATGCCCTTGTGTATGTAATTAGAAAAAGGGTCATCAAATCAGCTGTTTTGAGAAAATTTGATTAAAAGAAGGTTGATTATATGGAAATTAAAGAGGCAATCGAAAAAAAAACAACAACAACAACAAAACACTGTTTTTATTCTTAAATGCAAAAATCTGAATATAAAAATCCTATTGAGTACCTAAACTGAAAAATATGTGAATTTTATGGCAAAAACATTATAAAACTAGTTATCTCAAAAATGTCTAAAAGTCAAGTTTACAGTAACACTGACTTTGTAGAGCAAAATAATATTTTAAACTTCTTACAACAGCAACAGACATTATAATGTTAGCTTAGATTTCATTTAAGCAAAAATAAGATATCTATGGAAACAAGAAAAGAACCGGTCCAGTATTTAGATTTTATTGTGAGTAATATGTATTAACCCTTATATTAGTTTTTATATTGAATTTTGCATATATTTCATTTAATTTGTAATATGTTATTGATTAACAGGGCCACAAGTTTATTAGTTGTTTAATTATTATTAAAGGGAGCTGGGAACAACAGAACAAAAACCATTAACAGTAATAATAACAAAAAATAATTGAATAAAAATAAGCAAATCTAGGTGTTTTAACTGTTGGATTAGTGTTAGATTCTTCCATTACACAAGGCTTTTTTTTCCTTATTTGAATAATTGAGGTGGCAGATTCATCAAATTATCATAATTGTAGGTCCTTTACACCTCGACATTAGTATGCATATTCTCCTTACTGTTCTCTGTACATTTCTTAAGATGCTAACAAGGAGAATTTATTTAATGATCAAAACCTTGTAATCTTTAGTCAATGATCATTTCCTATATTCTCATGACCTTAGTGTTTGATTCAGGGGTGATACTGTAAGGAGAAAGTAAATGTTGGTCACTCTTAGGTATCAAATGGTTAACTTTGTAAAATTACTCCTAATGCAAGTAAGAAAATTGTCATTTATTTAAAGAATGACATTTAAAAACATTTGTCCTAAGCACAAAACAGAAGAAAGCTAGTTGTGAGGGCTTGAGCCCCACCCAGTTATAATTTCTCAGTCAGATTATATTCTATCAGCTGAGCTACATGAAAGTTGTTGGTGACCCAGGTTACTGAATTTGAAGTAAATATATGACAAGAAAATGTTGTGCTTTGACTACTTGGATTATAAGATAAAATGTACAGTGAAAGCTCTCTCCATAAACACTCCCCTAAAAAATGCAATAAACAAGTATAAAATGGAAACTTCTACAGGCTTTCAAATACAAGTGCATGTATATTTTATACTGAAATGCTACCAGTCCAAATAAACAGCTAACTCATGGTATAACCAATCCCATAGCATATTTGAGCCTTGTTGTTATGCCATGTGTCTTTACTTCTGAAATTTTTCGTGGGGTTGGGAGGAAGCAGGGCAAATCAAATGATCATTTGTTAGAGGATTGGACTATTTATTGGGTTCATGAGTGACAGGCATCCTGTATTTTATGCTGTATTCAGCAATGCCTGAAGTGTATTTTTATTTTAATGATGTTTCTATAACAAGCTTAATTCAAGTGGGCTTGCTTAATCCTTAAACTCCTAAGATCTGATTGCTCATTCTCTCCTCTAGCTGCTACAAATTTCCTTGTATATTGGTTATGAGAATTTGGTGTTAGATCAAAAAAACAACGTCAACCTGATTGTTTAATTATTTCCATTACCAATTTGCTGCCTAATGTGTGGATATTGCAGGGAGAATTTACATGTTAATCACTTCTGAGCTGGTTAGATGAGATTCTAATCCTGATCGAATAAACTGCCCTTTTTGGACTTCGCAAAACCTAGCATTTGTAAAAAACAAACCCTAAAAGATTGCGCTTGAGTAAAACATGCATATAGTGAGCACTATTTCTATTATTCATAGTTAGCATTTTAAACTTCAAACTTCAGTTACTCTCTCTGGAAGTTCTCAGATGTGTCAAGATGAGTGATGCTAGTGCAAAAAACTGGCTACTTAACAAACAGAAACAAAAAATTAACATCAAAACAAAAATAAAAACATTTAGTTTTAGGACAGAAAAATATGTATTAACTTATCAAGGATTCTGTATCTAAGAGGAAATAGGTCAAGAGTTGTTCTCTCGGCATAGCAACATACAGAAAATTCCACGTTTTACTCTCTTGACTTGGGTTGATGGGAAAAATCAGTCATTGTCCTATCTACTGGTAACCTTATCTATCTTTGATCCAGTGGATTCTATTACTGTCGCAAATTGTTTCTTCAGAGCATTTTCTTGAGGATTTTTTTCTTTCATTTGGGTACAGTTTGTGCACAGTTAATAATCCTCTGCATTTGGATCTCTAAGATAATCCAATACTCCTTTGGAGAACTTTAGCACACAGCCTTTGAATGCCTGTTTTTTCTTACAGTCCTTTATTGGTATGACTGTCTTCACAATCCACTTGCCCTGTTTGTCATAATATTCAACTGAATCTTCTGGGTTTTTCTTATTTTGGTTAAAGCCACCCAGCACATACAATGTTCCACCAAGACAAACCATACTACCATGTGTGCGGTAAAAATTCAAGTTTGCAATTAACTGCCATTCATTCGTGGAAACATTGTACACCTCGCATGTTTTCAACACTGTGCCTTCTTCATCTGCTCCTCCAGCCACAAAAATCTTTTCCTGACTGGCCACACCAAAAGCCCCACCTCTTGCTTGTTGCATATCTGTGATTTCTTCCCATTTCTTTTCCATAATGTCAAATCTGTCAGCTTTTGCAACATGTTGGGATGTGTGTGGGGACGTCCCACCCAAAAGATACAAAAAGTTACCAGATCCTATGACACAAGAATCTTTCCTGTAGCACTGAGAAGAGGAGTGAAGCTTTTGCCATGAACATGTCTCTACCTGGAATTTTTCAATGCTTACTGTTTTTGCGTTGTCTTCCAACAGGAAAGGAAAAGTTTCATTGATAGAAAATAACTCTCCTCCGATGACAGTCACCTCGTCCTTAAATGCGCCAAAGGGGAATGATGACCAACTATTAAAGACAGGATCATACCTCTCTCCTCGACCCAAACTGAAAAACACGATTAACTGATCACGAAATTTAATCATGTGGGTTGAAGGGATGTTGGTCCTCCTTTCTTCAGCTGACCTGTTACATCTAGGTAACCTTTTCCACTCATCTTTCTGAGGGAAATAACAAAAGGCATATTCTCCTTCACAAGCCACGATAGCGCGTGTGTCAAGCCCTTTTCTCGGGGACTGGGGAAGGTCATCATCGCTTGAAAACGTAGTCTGTCTTATAGCATCTGAAACCAGCCTCAAACAACCGGCGTTGTCACGCACGAGTTCGTTTGTCACGACATTCAACAAATAATCACGCGATACGAAAACCAGTCGAACGTGACGAAGCAGCCCTTCAAAGGCTGCTTTCCGCTCGCTCTTGTTATGTTCAACCCACTTTTTCGCAATCTGGAAAACATCGGCTTCTGTTTTGACAACAATATCGTCACTTGAAATCCATCTCTCCACCTCTTTGGCTTCCAAACTTAGGAATTCACCCATGTCTGCTACAGACCTGAAGTTCGCGTGAATAAAACTCTTGCTGTCGTTTAAAAGCTCTTCACAATCGTATTTCTCGGCGAAGTAGAAGGTGGAAATGCAGTTTAACTCACACATTTGTTGTTGTATAAATCGACCAGAGATTGTTTTCAAATTTGGAACGAGGAGATAATTTGTAGCGACGACCAGCTCTTCGGCATTTTCTTCAGTAACCTCTACAGTTCCAGTGTAGATGAATTCCAAAACATCTTCCATAACAGATCCCGAAATCTCCTCCAACCGAACGATCCCTTCTCGATTTTCTTTCATATCGCTCTGAAGAAGCTTGCAAAAGAACGGACTCGCTGCAGAAAGGATATTTCTGTGAGCCTTAAACTCTTGATCATCTTTCGTAATCAAAGTTATGTCGCATAAGTGGCCTTGTTTTCGTTGTATGTTGAGCCGTTTCATCATTTCTACACAAAAAGGATTCTGTTCAGTGACACTGATAGCTGGAAGGTCTTCCATTGTCAAAGGATAGGCCTTAACTGTTTTCGAGGTTTGTAAGCGGAGATCGTGGTGATTAACTATATCGGAACGCGAATGCGGAAATTAAAAAAAGACTTTGTGGTACTCAGGCTGCCCCGGCCAGCTCAGAAGCGATAAGCTGCACCAGGCTTTCAGGAGGTCACCTGGTGGTGACTGGTGCGGAGATTGGGGAGGGAGAGGTACTAGAGATGGGAGGGGAAAGGACGGAATACGGACAGTCTGATTTGACAGCGGTAAGTACGGAAGAGAAATTCGTAATGTAAATATTTCTAAATTATTGGTGTCAGGAGGGTAATGGGCTGCTGTTAGGCTTGAGTCGATTGTGCTCGTAAAACTGGCATCTTATGCTCCAAGCACTACTTAAAATTTCTGAAATTTATGCCCGAGTCATGCTCGTTTCTCTAAATTATGCTCCTTGCATCAAAATTATGCTACTTGATTTTTAAGCAAAATAAAGGCAAAGCGCTGGAGTAAACACAAAACAAACAGCAACTAATTACTTATCTGGTGACTGCAGCCCATCATTTTAATAAGCCAATTATCAAACAATGTGCCGTTACACGTTTCCCCTGCATTTGTTCCTCAGAACTGTTAAATATACTGCTCATCATTTTTCAATCAATGGAGCCTCTTAGGTCAAAGTAAGGATGCAGAGTAACACGCTTATCAGCGCTTATTGTACTGAAGCATAACACAAGCCTGAATATAATCTACTAGAGCATGGTCTTGCGAGTCGTTGAAAGAGGGGTTAATTATTGGGAATACTCTTTTTGCAGCAGCAGATGAGGGTTGTACAAGGATAACCTTCATGACTGCAAACGACCAATGTGGCGATCGATCTGAGTGCTGTCGCCACCAGTTCACTTTGCCTTCTTCGCAGGCCATTGTGAAGTTATGGGCCGCAGCAACATAGTTAGGCAGTTCCGTGATTAAGCCATTTATTTCATGGTTACCGTCCAAAAACGGAAATAATGGTAGGCCTTGTACAGTTGCTGGCGCAGGTCGCAGCCATTGCATAGCTTCCGGGCACATTATTCTAGTAGCCTTGAATGCGCTCAACTTTTTGCACAAATCTGCATTGAATTTTCGCAAAAACCACTGAATTCCAGACTCGACACTCCTTTTGGCTTCCTGTTCCAGTGCTGCAACATTTTTTTGTGGGATCTCCAGCCGTTATAACGACAGCTACTGCGTGGACATTTCGGAAATGTGGCACCTGACATGCATTCGCAACCGTTTGTAATCTCTCGAAGCACGAGAAGAATAGTGGGCCATCTCCCTCTAAAGCGTAAGTGGCTTTGACGAGTGGTTCACCCACATTAACGATGGCTGCTCAAGCTTATGGTTCAGAACTCTATCTGGATCACACGGGAAGTCGAACAGTTGTCGTGAAATTTGGGGAGCAATATTTTCTCTTTCAGCATTAGCCACGAATTCTTGTAAGTCACCAAACTGCTCCATGAGTTGTTTGTAGACTTCCCGCTTCGACCACCGACGAGTCTCGGAGTAACTCTTCGATTTAAGTCCGGTCTGTTCCTGCCACATAAGCCTCGCTTTGTGGCTATGCCCAAATAGGCGGATCCACAGATTGCCAAATTCACTTAAATTCGGGATAACAAAGTGATTGCCGATATTATCCAGAGTGTGAGAAAAACAAACCACATTGAATTTCGCAGGGAATGTGAACTGGATGCAATTTAAGGCTGCTTAGTTTACGCTGGCGCCGTCTCTCATGGCCGCTATCAATGAGTCTGCTCTCACTCCATAGTCAACAGATAAACATTCTTTGAGAATTTGGGCAAGCTCGTCACCCTTTACTGATTTGGCACAAACATCAATTCTGATCAGTCGTTGCACAATACACCAATCATCGTTGACAAAACGGACCACGATCACGATCGCCTCTCCCTGTCTCGTGCTTCCATTAAAGATAATGGAAAGATCCCTTGTAAATTCCCCGCCACTGCCATCAGATGGTTCTCAGCGAATTTCCTCTTTAATCCTTTGTATCTCTTGCTTGTATATCAGTGGAATGTACTCCTTCGTGTTACAGTGATGAATAAGACGATAGCCTTACTTTTCAAGGTCGGAGTCGGATGGTCGGAGTTTGTCTATCTTTCGTAAAGGGATTCCAGCTTTGAGAAACTCCTCTACCACCTGTAAACGGTATGCTCTCCTCAACTGGCAACGTGCAGTCCTTGCTCTGTGTATTGTCTTGTCTAAGCGCCTCCGTGATAGTTTGAACTCGCTTCTTGGTTTTTTCATCTTCGCTTGCTTGAGTCGTGCTTTCTGGAGGCAACATGATTTTAAAGTATGCTCTTTTTAGAGCTTAGAAGCTCCTTGCAAGCGTCACAAAACCGTTTACCGTTTCGAAGACACAAACTTTCCCCGGAAATTGTTTGATTCGATCGTTTTAACTCTTTTTTTTTGGGATCTGATGTACCTCTTTCGCTATATTTTCCTTTAGTCGGTTTCAAAATATGCTCTCGAGAGACTGAGGCTCTTTGTACGACATTGCCTGAAGAACTAGAAGTGTTCGACGAGGATCCGTTCGACGAGGAGGTCGCCATCTTTTATCTAAAGGCCTACCCTGGGACCTTAAGTCGCCGTAACATTAGGCGACTTTGGGCGATTTAAGGCGACTTAAGGCGACTTTAGCAAAATTGGCACAACAAATATTGCGACTTTAGGCGATTCAAGGCGACTTAAGGCGACTTAAAGCGATTTTATTTGACTGAAGCGATAAAACCGAAGTTAGCAACAGTCTCTCCATATACTTTAAAAATGTCTACAGAATCCCTTGCAATAAACACAACAGTCGTTTCGATTACTTTGGTATACTCATAAGTCACCACAGTCCAAAATATCCAGATTTCAAATCAATTTAGCTAAAAATATTCAGACATATTTCTACATAATTAATTAAAAATAACATGATTATTTACGTGTATTAATTATTTCACAAAGCTCCACTGATCTTTAAATGAACAAGCCTTAATAATTTTGCCCTCCTTAACAGATTTGATTGTTCAGGTATATGATTAGTTTGAGCATTAGTTTACTTTTCAAAAGAAAGAATTGTCACTGGTAAGCGAAGATGTAAGAAACTTTTGAATACAGCGAACCAGAATGAAGTGTCTTGCAATGGGGCAGAATTTCGATCTGTAATTCTTACACTCTTCTGAGCAGGCAAAATTTTTGGTCGACATTTACCTTTTATCTTTTTATGTAATATTTTTTGCAAATATGCCGTCTGGATATTTTTTAAACTCTTTCAATCTTTTTTCCCTCTTTTTCTCAAAAATTTTCCCGTAGCTATGAGACCATCATTTCTTACCATAGCTATTATCTCGTCCCCAGAGTTCCACGGCCAAGGGACCTGGAAATTAAGATGGAAAACTGGGAACCAGCTATACTTCCGCTTTCGACATCAGCTACATTTAAGCGGATTTTTCTCAAGGAAAGTAAGTGATGGAAGACATCCAGCCTATCTCAGCTGCTGAACAAGCATCATTCTGTGTGGAACTGATGAAACGCCTCAACATTGAGCGAAAACAAGATTATTTATGCGACATTACTTTGGTGTCGAAAGACAACAGAGAGTTAAAGGCTCACAGAAATGTTCTTTCCGCCGCAAGTCCGTTCTTTTGCAAGCTTCTTCAGAGCGACATGAAAGAGAATCGAGAAGGAATTGTTCGCTTTGAAGAAATTTCAGGATCCGTTATGGAAGATGTTTTGCAATTCATTTACACTGGAACTGTTGAGGTGACTCAAGAGAATAGTAAGGAACTGATCGCCGCAGGGAATTATCTGATCATACCAGGCTTGAAAACAGCTTCAGGGCGGTTTTTGGAACGAGAAATGTCACACATAAACTGTATTTCAACCTTTTACCTCGCTGAGAAATATGATTGCGACGAGCTTATCACCAACAGCAGGCGTTTCATTCACGAAAACATCGTTTCCGTGGCAAAACTGGATGAGTTTTTGCACTTGGAAGCTAAAGAGATCGAGAGGTGGATTTCGTCGGACGACATTACAGTCAAAGAGGAAGCTGATGTTTTTAAAATCATATTAGACTGGGTAAACCACAGAGAGAGTGAGCGAAAAACAGCATTTGAAGAACTGTTTGGTCACGTTCGACTCGGTTTTCTGTCGCGTGACTATTTGGAGGATGTCGTGACAAACGAACTGGTGCGTGAGAATTTCGCTTGTGTGAAGCTGGTCATGGATGCTGCCATGAAGATAGCTACCTTTGCTGATGAAGATCACCTCCCGCAGTCACCAAGAAAAGGGCTGGAAACACGTGTTATTGTAGCACGTGGTGGCAAGTACACTTTTTGTTATATTCCAAAAGAAGACCAGTGGAAGCGTTTACCAGATGGTACAGCGGAGTTGGAGGCCAGTACATCTAAGATGATAAAATTCCGTGATCAGTTATTTACCTTTAGCAATTCTAAAGGCTCAGAAAGATATGATCCTATTTTTAACGATTGGTCAGCCTTGAAATCGCACGTAGATTCGTCTAACGTGGCTGTCGTTAAAGGAGAAATTTATGCTGTTCAAGTAAACACCATTTACGAGAGCACTACGATCACAAAGTACAATGTAGAGTTGTGTAAATGGGAGATAGTTAATCTCTCGTTTGATAAAGATTGTAGAGTAAATACTTGTGTTGTTGCAGCTGGTAGACACCTTTATATGATTGGAGGGTGGAAAAACCCACACACATGTTTCGCAGAATGTAATAGATTCGACACCGTGGAAAAGAAATGGGAAGAAATCGCTGGCATGCAGGAAGAAAGAGTTGGCCCTTTTGGGGTGGCCACTCGAGAGAAAATCTTCGTCGCTGGAGGGGTATCCATAGCAAAAAGTTTAAATTCTTCCGAGATGTATGATATATCAACAAATAAATGGCAACTTTTTCAATGCCTAAATGTTCCTCGTTATTTTGGAAGTATGGTACAACTGAGTGGAAA